TCAACTTTATTTAGAGTGTTTGCCTCACCATATGGTTTATTTTACCGAAACTCAGGTATTTGTGGGCTGTGTCATTTCCACTAAATGATCGTGCCACCATATACATATGTATGTATCTATTAGTTGCCAATAGCAATATAAGCCTCCTCGATATCAATTAATCCTACCCCTTACTATACATACTCTGATGAAAGATGCTATCGCCAGCCCTGGAATAAAATAGATCAGTTCACTGTGAATCTATTTATACTAACTTCTGACAGAGGAAAAATATTTTGAATTGAATTTTGAACTGAATTTTGAATTGAATTTTGAATTGAATTTTGAATTGAATTTTGAATTGAATTTTGAATTAAATTTTGAATTGAATTTTGAATTGAATTTTGAATTGAATTTTGAATTAAATTTTGAATTGAATTTTGAACTGAGTTTAAATATTCTAATGATCTGATATGCAATCTTACGTACTAACAATCCGTTAAGCAGGTTCCACGATCTACTAAACCCATGTTATGAGGCAATTGAAATTCTCCCTGTCCGGCTTCTGTCAATAAATAAAATCTAATGTGACAAACAAATGATTACTAACAATTGCATGGGCATTTAACTAATTTTTTTACAATTTATCGGATCACCTGCAACTAATTGCATATATATGGCTGATTAATGTAGATGCTAACATTTTACCCCACTCGGTACGGAAATCTTATTAGGTTAAAGTTTCTTCGACTAGGGTTATTTTTAATCCACCAGACTTTTAAGTAATTGAAATCACATAACTAAATAAATTGAAATCCCAGAACTTGAATTTCCAGTGCTTTAGATTTAAAAATTGTAAAATTGAAATCTGCCAGACTTTTGAAAATCGAACATTTTATTCAACTCAAACAATTTTCCATTAGAAATTGAAGGAAAATTTAAATATACTCAAATATACTTACATATATATTGATTATTAAGTTTGGAAGCTTAAACCGGGTTTCATTAACAAGCTGGTTTCGTCAAAGGCGCTGAAACTAATTCATCACTTTAAAAAGTTATCTTCCCATAAACTTGTCGACATCATACTGCTCGCTCTCATATTTAGCGTTACATCCTTGCACGAAGGACTTTACCACTCGTCCATAAGTCCGTGTCCCACTCATTAGCGCGGAGGTTGAGAAACAAGTCTAGTTTCCGGTGAAATTTTCGTTAAAGAAGCCAGTCCAACTCGATCTTCCCGTTAGAACCAGGTAATCAGGACGAAATCCAACACTCTAAATAAATTTGATTAAAATTTACTCAATTTTGAGTAAAATTTCCACCAAAGCAACTATTGAGTAAAATTTACCCTGAGAAAGGTAAAATTTACTCAAGGTTGAAAGATTTTTGCTCAACCTCGAGTAAATTTTACCTTTGTCAGGGTAAATTATACTCAATGGTTGCTTTGGTGGCAATTTTACTCAAGTTTATTTACAGTGAAGCCGAGGACCCGCTATAAATTGAGATGGAAGGTGTCGTGGTGTCCAAGGGGCCAAGATATTTCAAAGACAGGGTCGATGAGAGTGTTCCGTTTACGCAGAGTAGTTCGCCATTTAAAGAAGTATCGTAGAATGACTCCGATACGAGGTAATTCGATTCATTGAAACCGCGCCAACTGCACGAGTATAAAATTTTAGTTGTCCTCCCTACTTTTGGAGATGGGTTATTTATTTTTAATTATCAAACATTTGAGAACGTTAAATAACTAGGATTGTCGATGTCATGAAATTCATTCAAGTTTATAAAGAATCCTTACATTTTCACATGCATACATTTAATGAGGAATGAATAAATTATTCATTAAATATTCAACAATTGAATGAACATTAGATGAATATTTTGTTCTGATTTTTGAATAAATGAATATTGAATGAATATCTATTAAATTCGTGTGCATGAATAATGAATGAATATTTTTTTCATGATTCATTATTTACTGAATGTTTAATACATAGGGAAAGTTGAGAAATTCATCTAATACTGTGCATCTTGAATAAAATGAGTAAATGTTGAATAATTAATGAATATTTTTTTACAAATTATGAATTAGTGAATAAGGAACGAATATTTTTTTTCAAGACTTTGAATGAATAAATATTTTTTTTTGAATATGTACATATGTATGCTTACAATCCCTTAAGACACCATGATTTGACGTCCCTCAGTAAGGGCGAGTAATACGTGAGATCTGGTTCTTTGCTTCGGAATCGAAATGCATTCCCACCTGAGCCAACTTCCGTGTAGAAGGTCACCTCCTGGATGAAACCGAGGGATAGAGAGATGCATGTTGCAAAGGGAATTAATCGGAGCAACATTGTGAGAAAGAAGAATGCGATATGATGGGCTTTGCCAAGATCGATTGTACTCGAAATTTTTGTAATCTTGTTGCCATGGAGAATTTTACGCAGTTTTACCTGTATGTTGTACTGGTTGTGATGATACCATGCATCATTACAGTGATATTTATATGTATGATTTGCCTTTTAGTGTAGTCGATTAGGGTTGCTAAAACAGTTTTAAATGATTTATAACAAAGTCGTTTGTGTATTATCAGTTGTCTCCAATGTAATATGTAATTAATTAGTATTTTATCACCTAACATGGATTGAGCTGCTAGATAACAGGTAAAACATATTTTTTCACGGGGCAAAATTGATACTGAATAACATATGTCTTTTTTGGCATGAAGTTGCTAAATATTTTCACCTATGCTCTGTTCAATAATGTATTTATTTTATTTATTCTTACAATTTCGCAATTATCAATATTATACAAGCATATTTACATAATGTACAAAGGCTGTTGGTTATGATGCAATAAATCAATTATTATTATTATGATTTTAGAATTGCCCTTAGGCCTTTTTAGAATTTTGTGTACAGTTAGGTCTATTAAAAATTAAGCATGGACATAGACACCGACATGTAAGTGGTATTCAAAAATAAAGGAAATGGATATACGCCTTTGTCAATTCATTTATCGAATTTAGAAATTCCTGATGAAGGAATAAGCCTTCCGAAATCTAGTGTCAATTTTACAATCAATACAATGCCTTCAGAATCCATGCATTCTTCTTCAAAATATGATACACACTTTTGGGTTAATATTATGTTAATATTATTACGTGTTAGTTTTTGCACAAATACATAATTCATAAATGATAATATTACTATCGAAGTTTACGTTTTTTTCATTATTTATTTAGCACCTACGGTATACAAAAAATATAACGATAAACTAATTCATCATTCGTTTAATCATATATGTCTAAATACGGATCGCTATAATTATAATTATAGCGATCCGTATGTGTACATACACCATACATATTTACAGTAATACATATGTATGTATATGTATTAATTGAGGTTAAACTGCTAGTTTAGTTTGACTAACTACGCTTTTCCATGTAGCCATCCAATTAATTTATGCAAACTACAATGCTTGATTTATACTTTCAATTCATAAGTAATTCACCCTGTTTTAAATCGTATGAAAAAACATTCGTTTGTCCTCTCACTTGACGTTTGAGTACTAATACGAAATTGCGAGCTTGACGAGATGAAAGCTTATGTAAATATGTATGACTTTGTATAAATTGCAGGAGGACGATTTCTTTTACAATGCAGGAATAAATACAGCCATTTTTTATAGTTTTTTTTATCCATTATATGTACATATGTATGTATCATATTTAAGTGTGCATTTTTACCTGGTTTGGAAGCATTCGGTGAGACACTACATAGACACATATTGATATTTATAGGATGCAAAACTGCAATAAAAAAGGTCTGATGACAATTCAATTCCATCACTACCAATGGGTTGAATATAGATATTTATTGACGTCAAATATTTATATTGACTTAATTTGCTCCTAAGCTACGCATGTATGAAGCAGATAAATTGTAAAATCTTGGCAATAAAGAGGATGACGGGTGAGACAATGCATTAAAAAGGTAAATGGTAAAATCTTATCATGACGGGTGAGACAATCAATATAAAAGAAATACTCTTTGCCGTTCAACCAGTCATTCTTAAAAGTTTAGTTTGCCAAGCAGATTTCAATCGCTATTTACCCACAAACTAGGATGAAATCCTATGTCGCTGCTGTCTTACTTGGTTTCCTCGTAGTGGCCATATTCGCGGAAGAACGCCAGGAATCAAATTCTGCCGAATTTCTTACAAGGGAAACCTCCGAGGTACCGGTTGAATCCAGGGTTCCCACCTATACCAAAATGATCACAATATGCGATTTATGACGTAAAGTGAAGGAATTTACGTGCAAAAATCACTTTTCGTCAATCTGTGACGATATTTGTGACGAGCGTGTGAGCACGGATAGCATAGAGTTTCGTCGTGAGACATCCGGCGGAGATGCTGGCTGAACACATGATCGTGTTTATAAATATATCATTTTTATTACAAACCCCAATTTTCATTGAATTTTTAAAATTCTTATTCATAATGACAAACTTAATTCTAATTTTTGAGACTGTGTTGAAATTGGCAAAATGGTAAATTTGGAACCAACGGTAGACCAACAAATAAATCGTCCTAAATTTAAACATAGCAAAAAGTGTTTTCATTTATGGAATAAATTGTTAAATTCTGGGACTGATTTTGAAGCGATATGCACATTAAAATGTGACATATGTAGATGATTACTTAAATACATATAAACATGTACATAAAGATACATTTTAAAATGTTCACGAATTGTTATTCTCATCAACATGTGAAAGTGCGAAATGGATTTATGTATTTCCAATGGAAAGTTTCATCAAATGTGCAATGTGATCTATTTAATTTGCAACTGTGTCGACCACATTTTTGTTGAATACCACCATCACCCACTAACTAATAAGGACACTAATTCACATCCACATGATTTTGTTCGAGTTTTAAATAAAGTAAAATTATATTAATTAATGAAGAATTTTAATAAAGCGAGAGGTCTTTGCAATATCCGAGTCGCACGCTTCGTCGTCTGAATCCACTCTCAACGGTGGTCACACGCTCGTCACAAATATCGTCACAGATTGACGAAAAGTGATTTTTGCACGTAAATTCCTTCACTTTACGTCATAAATCGCATATTGTGGTCATTTTGGTATAGGTGGGAACCCTGGATTCAACCGGCACCTCGGAGGTTTCCCTTGTTAGTGATAACTCCCCAATGAATGAAATTAATTCGTCCATCGTGGGTAACTCGGATGCTGCTTCAGGTATTTGTATAACAGATACGCATAAATATTATATTTATTACTATGTAATATTATATTCTACGATGAGGGTATTAATTATTTTTTCGTATCCATAGTATCGTAAAATGGTTCACGAAAAAACGAGGGGTGGTAAAAATTGTAACGCGATTTTCGACGACAAAATCTAACGAGGCATACAAAAGTAATTTTACGGTACTAACGTTACGAAACGTTAGAAATTATGAATATCATCAACATATTGGGTTGGGGCGCCCAAAATCGGAAGATTTTGAAAACCGGTTTTCGATGATTCCGATTTTTGAAATTGTGATAAACCCTGTTTTAGATTAATGGGATTTTGGAAAATTTTAGGAAACCGGTTTTCGATTTGCACTAAAACCGATTTTAAAAATCGGGTTTCAACGCAAATTTAAAAAAAGCTTCCAAATATAATAACAAGAAATTGAATGCAAAATTAACATTAAATGTAAACTTGGGAATAAGGAATTGTAGAACAATTAATTCTTATATTAACAATAGGAAACATTAAATACTAGTTTCAAAACATTTTATTTTATTCTATTTTATTCTATTTTACTTTATTTTAGTAAGTTTTCGACTGTGTAAAAACCGGTGAAACAAATGGTAAAACCGATTTTTTATAAAACCGTTTTTTGGGAAATCGGAAAAACCGATTTTGGATGCCCTACTCCTAGCATTAATATCTAATAATTTCCGTCTTTTGAGGCTATAAATCTTGTTTCATAATTTCAGTTCGCAACAAGCGGCAGTATTATGGATATGGAAGGGGAGGAAATTGGACACCTCGATGTTGTAATTATGGATATAATTTCTCGCCGGGCTGCCAATACAACGGTTTTTGGAATGCAAATAATAATCCTTACTGTCGTGGTTATGGTTATGGTAGAGGTGAGAGATTTAACACTTGAATTATAATTTATTTAATTATACTTTTTCGTCGTTTCCTGGTGCAGGCGGATACAACCGAGGTTATAACCGTGGTGGTTACAACAATGGAGACGATTCCGTTGGCTGTACCTACGCTGGCCAAGCCAATTGTTATGGGAATCAAATCTGAAGTGTGAGTATTACCTAGGCCAGGAATGTCTCAATATTGCAATTATTAATTTATGTATACCACTTCTGTTCGCCCAATATTATTAGTCGCAAGAGGGCCCGATAATTTTTCTGAGTATTTTATTTGTCCATATATATATGTACATATTACTTAAATCCTAGGATATCTATGGCAGGCAGTGGTGGCCGAGTGGTCATCACACTGTGCTTCAAGCCGAATGGAGGTTCTGGGTTCAATTCCCAGTACTAGCAGAGAGTTTTTTCCCTTGTGGTTTTCCTCTCTGACTTGTTGCACAGGTCTGTGCGGTGTCCATTGCACTACGGGCACCATAGTTAGGAACCTGAGACCATCTATTTCTCACTTATGTGAGGTTTGGTTCACTTGTAATTCAAATGTAATGGCTAAAATTGGGAATCAATAAAGACGACCTTATTTTAAATAATTTCATCATTGGCAACAATAGCAAAACTGTTGGAAAATAAAGATACGAGGATGGTTTACAAATTTCTATTCAGAAAATTTTATTTTAACTGCCAGGTAATCTTTCAGAATTTTTTCAGACTAATAAGACTTGATAAACGGTAGCGTAATTTTTGTAGTAGTTTGAAACCAAACCAATAACAATAAAATATTTTATCACCGAAAAATTAAAGAAGAATTACATATTAAGAAAAATCCAGCCAGCATGAATATACAGGATGGAAAACGAATAAATTCTATCTGCTTACCAGTGATCCTTCCCCTCATATTTAAAATCCCCATAAATTTTCCAGGGAAACATTGTAATTTTGTAGTCAAAAAAATTTTTTGAAGTGATATTCCGACAGAAAAATAATTGGAAATTTATACCCTCATGAAGACAATGTTTGTTGTAGAAAGCTTTGTCAAGTTGAAATAAAAGTGTAAAGTTTTTTAAAGTCCAGTCCTTATAACAGTTTGAAAATCGTTTTAAATAAAAATACTGTTAAATGAAAGCCTCCAGAAACAGTTGAAGTATGTATATCCTCTCACCAAAATGTGCTTCTTATATTTTGTTAAATTGTATATTTTTCCCTGAACTTGCACCATTGAAAAAATTTAGCTTGTTGGTGAATAGATTCCAAACAGTATGAAAACAAATTTATATCTCGCATAACCGACGAGGAGAGCCCTTTCATTGGGGGTAGTTTAGGGTAGTTGAGATGAGTTGGCCTAAAATGCACTATAATTATGCACCAAGTTATGCAAAATTTAATTTTTTATCATTTTTGGACTCCCAGATAAATTAGGGTCGGAATGGTATAAGTTTCAAATAACAGAAAAATTTCGACTTTTTTAAAGTTTAGCGTCAAATTAAACAGGTAGAAATTTTTGTAGTTATTTGACACTTGTACCATTCCGACCCAAACTTATCTTGGAGTCCAAAAATGCTAAAAAATTAAATTTTGCATAACTTGGTGAATAGTTATAGTGCATTTAAGGCTAACTCATCTCAACCCATTTAAAACTCACCGGCATCACTAATTGGGGGTATTCATCACTAGTCTGCATCGTTAGTAAGTCATTAACAAATTAAAGTTTGTATAATAGCTCTCTCGAATTTTTTTCCTGGCAAAATCATCTGCCATCTACAAGATGACATCTTGGTATCTCCAGGTTTAGTTTAAGTTAGCAAAATATATTTCAAAAAATTTGTTGCAATGCAAACATGCGAATCTGAAATGAATCCACAAACTGTGTCGATATTCATAAAACCTGAAATGCTTCATGGGTACGTCAACAAATTTGAATTTGGTTATATTTACTTATTTAGTAAAATTTGGCGAACTATAAATAACGCATTGCACATAATTTGCGGATTATTTTCAGAGAACGAGCTCTTCTTCCCCGTTTAGAACGGTTTATATTTATATGTCCGACTCCACTCACAACCCTGGGGTGGATCTAAACCCAAGACTTAAATAAATAAATATTCTCAATTTTTGTTACACAGCATGTGTAACAAAATTCACTTACAATGAGGAGGTGTGAGGTGGTTATCGCCGATCTCCACCGGACTAATTTTAAATTGTTCACGCTCAAAAATAAGTGGACCCGTATTTTTTCGTTTTTCTGAATGGTCATGTTTACGCCTGTGGCGGAATTTTCAAAAAAAATTTCAGCCAAAATTCGAATTTTTAAAAACGCTGTAACTTTTAGAATTTTAACCCGATTTCAAAAAATAAACCCATTTTTTGGTCAGAATTACATCTCTGAAAATATAAAAATTCATTTTTAAAAAATTTTAATTTTCAAAAAATTATCGTTTTTTGGGTTTACAAAGACTCAGAAATAGCATGAAAATAGCAAATTTTTAAAATTTTAAAAAATGAATTTTTATATTTTCAGGGATGAAATTCTGAACTCAAATTGGGTTTATTTTTTGAAATCGGGTTTAAAATTCTAAAAGTAACAGCGTTTTTAAAAATCCGAATTTTGGCTGAAATTTTTTTGAAAATTCCGCAAAACGACGTGAACACGCCCATTCAGGAAAATGAAAAAATACGAGTCCATTTATTTTTGAGGGTGAACAATTTAAAATAGTCCGGTGGATATCGGCGATAACCACCTCACACCATCGCATTGTTAGACATTTACATTAATTATGTGTGCATTCAGTCTTTCGCATAGGTAAATGGTCGCGATAGGTGCGTGTGCATGAGCATTTGCTATTTTTTCATACATACATGAATAAGCTATGGATTGTGAATGTTTATGTAAAGTATGCATATTTGTCAGTAAGTAGTCGTGACAAGTGGTGGCGAAAGTTTGTGTTCTTTCGTCAAGGGCCATACCACGTTGAATACACCAGTTCTCGTCCGATCACTGAAGTTAAGCAACGTCGGGCCCGGTTAGTACTTGGATGGGTGACCGCTTGGGAATCCCGGGTGCCCTTGGCGTAACATTTTTTGGCAGATTTTTACACTGGTGGTACTGGGATTAATAATTTAAAACATTTAAAACACTTGGCGTTAAAAATCTTTTTCGTTGCTCAATTTTTTATGGACTAGCGTGACTGACGAGGTATAATTTTACACATAAATATCGGATAAAGTGTAGCCACTAGATGTGTATGTATGCGCTTTTTTGATTCCCTAGGAAATAAATAAATGATGAAGTACTAAACCGTCAAAAACCGACATCGGACTCAGATTACTTGATTTCTCACCGAGTTATGCACATCATTTCTTTCAGTCATCACTATATATCGTCGTCATGAACAAAATCAAAGGTCGATCGACCAATTATTTAGACCAGACCAGGCGGACAAAGGACATCATCATGTGCTCACAAATTTGCAGTTAAGTTAATTAATGATTGTGTTCTTTGTGATTGAAGTATCACTCAGACAAGTTCTGACATATTCAATTTGAGATAAGTTTATAAATTAGATAGATAAGCTCAACAGTGCCACGTACATATTTATGTCAACTGATTACATATTATTAATATACGTGTACTGAGCAGCATATTTAAGGTGAGCTGCACTCATTAAAAACGTTATAGTTTCACTTTCAGTTAGACAGTCAACACGCTAAAATCTACCCGTATTTAATTGCGTTTGCATTTTTTGCAAGGATGGAGATTGCCGCATTCCTTCTCGGAAGTGTGGCTCTTATGATCCAACTATTTGCAAAACAGGCCGAAATCGCGGATATTGCGAAAACCACGATAGAACTGGAAAATGACTCGAGCTTACCTCTACCCAAAACTTACGACTTCATAATTGGTAAATTTATTTATAAGTTTTTTAATGTTTTAATTTCTAATCGTTTTTGTTTTCTCCGACAGTCGGAGCCGGAACGGCGGGTTGCTTACTGGCCGGGAGATTATCAGAAAAATTCTCCGTCCTACTTTTGGAGGCTGGTGGATCTCCTCCCCCAGCAGCGGCGGTCCCATTTTTCTCTGGAACTGTAGGCAGCGATCCAGATATTAATTATTTTTTTAAGACGGTCGACATGACGTATGGAGGGGTAAGAAAAATTAATGAAAATGACCCAGCAGGTTTCTAAATAGTTTCTAAACACTTTATCAATTTAAGGTGGCGACTGTTCACACGGGCAAAATGTTGGGAGGGTCGGGATCTCACAATGATTTGGTGCACAATCGTGGCAGTCCGAAAGATTACGATAACGTTGCCCAGCTCCTAAATGACAGCAGCTGGGAATATGAAAATGTTGTGGAATTTTTCAAAAAAACTGAAACCTGGCAGAGAACACAGCATTCAGAGGAAGATTTTTAGAGTAAGTAAATTTAAAAATCTATATTATAAGCTGGTAATGTCTGTCGGCAACGGAAGTGAAAGCAAATGTTCCGCAACTGAAGTGAAAGTAAAGAAAGGCAAGTTTCGAATGGCGCGAAAAGTCATTTGCTTTGACCTCTTTTGCCGATAGACATTGCCAGCTTATAGTTCACGCCGGGTGGGAGACGGGCTTATACGCTAGTATGTTATAAGCACGAAGCATCAAATTAAAAATTTATTTAGGATACTACGGAAATTTATTTAGGAAATTTATTTATTTTGTAACAACTTTAGGATACTACGGAACCGATGGACCAATTGTCGTTCAATCGGTGGAATTTCCCATTCTTCCAATTTGGTTTGAGGCTGGAAGGGAATTGGGATATAAAATTGGCGATCCAAACGGATATCAAACTGAAAGTGAGTATTTATCTAATACGGAAATTTTGCAAAACGTCAAATTTGGTGTCAAGTTTTTCGCAAAATTTCAAAACCATATTTTATGCAAATTTCCTGTCAGGTTTCCAACCATCCAACACACCAACGCGTAATGGGCAGAGGAGCAGCACATATGCCGAATTTGTGAAGCCTTACGAAAATACGAGAGAAAATTTAACCGTGGTCCGATACGCGAACGTTTCTGAGGTGATAATTTCATTTTTTTTATCATTATAAGTTTCCGACCGAAAATTTGCTTTCGTCAAAATCAGGTTTTACTGAATGCTAACAATGAAGCCTACGGCGTGGCATACACGCGTCATGGACATCCTCAAATAAGTTACGCGTCCAAAGAAGTTATCGTGAGCGCTGGGGTTTTCTCAACACCGTTGCTTCTCATGAAATCTGGAATCGGACCAATTGAAACTTTGGAGGCTGCAGAGGTAAAAAACCTATCAGCACAGCTTTGCTCAGCCCGAGCAAGGAGTGATTAGTAAACCCATGTTTGTCAGAATATTATACCATTTTTCACTAGTTCTTGCATTAACTAACGTCAATTGGTAGTATAACTTTGAACCAAATACCACGAGCACTGGAGGCTGTTCGTATAAAAATTTCGAAATTCAACACTCCTAAATTCTAGTCCTAAGTCATTTTTCGATTCCACACTAAATTTTAGCTGAATATATAAACTCTTAGAAATCGGTATGGGTCACCCCTTAGCGCCTCTCTGGTTACTTTTTGTTCATATTTGACTTCATAGTATTTCATGAGAATCCATTAACTATCACCCTGCCGAATTTCAGCTTCTTACGACGATTTCCAAAAATCGGTATGGGTCACCCCACGGGTCCCTATACACAAAAATTTTACCAATTTCACTTCATATTCTTCCACTAAGGGCCATTAGCAGCCTCTGTACCAAATTTCAGCTCGATTGGATGATTTTGAAAAATCGGTATGGGTCACCCCCTCGGGTACCTCCGGTTGACAAATTTTCCAATTTCACTTCATATTCTTTCATTAGGAGCCATTAGCAACCTCTATGCCAAATTTCAGCTTTCTATGACAATTTTGAAATTTTGGTGCATAATACCCAACCCACTCCCATGACCCCCACCGGTCAACCACTGGACCGATCTCGCCCATCTTCGAACTCGTTTCCTAACTTTGTCCAATATACATATGGTAAAAATTTCAAGTCAATCGGTCAACTCGTTCGAGAGTTATCGAAAGACAGACGGACAGACAGACAGACAGACAGACAGACAGACAGACAGACAGACAGACGGACACGACAATTACATAAGCCCTGGTTCGGGCTAAAAATTGACATTCAGGCGTCCATCAATTGGAATGTTTTGTAAATTTCAATTCATATAAGCAAAGCATATCTGTTCACGTTCACTTAATTATTACGAAATGAAGATTGAATGAGTGAATAATTCATTTAATGAATGAATAATGAATGAATGAATAATGAATGAATAATGCAAAATTTAAAATAAATGCGTGGGTTTTTTATTCATTCATTTTTCTACCTATGTTAAATACATGGGATGAGTGAATGAAGGAATTATTCATTGAGTTAATTAATAATGAATGAATAATTCATTGAATGAATGAATAATTCAACATTTTAAAATAAATGAGTGTGCTTGTTATTCATTTATTTTTCGACCTGCTAAATACATTGGACGAACGAATGCCTGAATTACTCATTCAATGAATGAATAATGAAGGAAAAGATCAAATTCATTTTCGAAGTGAAAGAATTTTGGACCAAGGAAACAAATTGGAACAAGTATGAAGCAAAGTGTTGAAATTTTTCCAGATTCCTGTCAAGGTTCCACTACCCGCTCTCGGTAAAAACGTTTCCGAACACCCAGCCCTCTGGCTTGGACCGTGGTATCCGGAATCTGATAATATTTCCCTGTTTCATCAAGTCATGCATCCAGACGCTACCGAAGCATTTGTTGCACAATATCAGCGTGGCGAAGGACCTCTCGCATATTTTGGTGAAGGTCCACAAATGTTTAAAGTAACGTCAAGGGCACGACCAGATTGGCCAAACTTATCGGTCACCATCCATTTGCAACCGATTCGAAACCCGGGTGATCGCCCCACCGTGTTCTTTTATGTTGTCCCAAGTTTATAAAACCTGGCAAATCAATCAAATTAAGATCCGCCACTTCAAGCGGTGAGAAGATCGTCAACGTGATTGGAATGCGGGAGATATTTCGCCCTTCACCTGCGAGATTAACTGTCTGGTTGGCAATTTCTTCTCTAATCAGGGAAAAATCGTGTATCTTTTCCCGAGGTCGATGCAGAAAAATTCCATGCTCGAGACAATTGGAATTCCGCAGTTCTTGTCGCGCTGCGGGGGAGGAAATCTTTCCCGACAAGAGCTTCAAGGAGGCTGGACTTTCCGGTACCCTTCCCACCCAAGAGAGCAATTTGTGGCAGATCTACATACGACCATAAGACAGTAATTAATTGAAAGAAAAATCGAGAAAGTAATTACTAACTATGTAGATTTTAATTACTTTGTGACAATGTAATTGTAATTAATAATTCATTAAGTGGTAATTAATTAATTAATTAATTACTTCATATGTAAGCAAGTAGTAATTAATTGAAGTAATTAAGCAATACTGGCTAAAATAAGAATTAGTAATAATTCTCGAAGGCAAAAATACCACTTACCAAACCCAAATTCCTTGCCACAACGAGCAAATACCTCTTTTATATTAGAAATTAAAGGAAGTAAATCCTCCATTTCAGTTGGATATTCAAATTAAACAATCACAAACTATTAATTATTTGAAAGTAAATTTAAAATTCAACAAAGCGAAGATAATAAATAATCTAGAGAAAAAAATCTGGAGTTTTTAGTATGTACTTGCAAGTGGAAATAGCAGGGTTCAATTTCTACTTAAAAATGTCTCCCCAGGATTTCTTATCACTAAATGAGTCACAGCCTGTGACTCATGCACGTGAGGGATGCTATTAAACAAAGTGGAGCGAGTAGCAACGTCGAGATGCGAAGGGATGGAAATCATGGAAATGTTTTCCTTTTTCATACATACGTAAATAAAGGGCAATATAAAGAAAAGTCAGGATTTCTCGGCAAACGTTGAGCGAGTAACAGAGACAGTTTGGCGAAAGCCGCTTTGGCGAAAATAAATTTTCGCCAACACGGTAAAAAGATTATCATGAAAATACCGGATGGTGAATTTTTTGTCGCATTTGGCGAAAATGAAAAACTCGTAAAACCACATTTGGCGAAACATAAATTTCACATTCTTTCATGTCAAATACCTTAAAATTAAAAAAATCATGGCGTAAAAAAATGTAGGCGTTCAACGCTGCCCTTGACCATCGCCTCCAAAATTTTAGACGATGTAAATTAATAAATACAAGATTACACGTTGCAGCTTTTGACCCAATGGCACAGTACAAACTGATGGATTGTCAGTATCTCAAAGCAAGAATGAAAAAAGATAACGAAGCAATTGAGTTGTAAATATGTATGTATGTGTCACACACATATTATGAGAACAACTCCACACTTGAGTCCGTACATATGTACATATTTATGGAAGTAGTTGGTTAATCATTAACTCCTCTACTCGACCAGGTTGGATTTCGACTAATGAAATTATGTACGGATGAGTAAGGAACTGTAAAACAAGAATTTATTCACGATGGATTTATTTATCGGAGTCAAACCTTAAATGTGGCATTAAACAATTGGAGGTCCGGGCAAAGGTCCGATTGGTCCTGTATTATTTTAGCCGGGGGTCAGTGGGGTGTGTGTACATATGCAAAGTTGTATTATTTATCAAAGTGAATTTGGTGTTAGATTTCTTTTTCAGATAGACATATCTATCTACATAAGTCTGTTGAGACTTGCTCCTTAAAATAATTTGTGGACGAGATTATAAATAAATAGTAAGGCGGGGGAACTATATAAGTCTGCTGTCGATAGAGTAACTAAATCCTGTACCGGTTGAAAAGTCACGGCCTTTGTAACAAAAAATGTTGCCGACACGGTTAACACTTTTCTGCAGTTGGAAGGCACATGTATTATAGCTAAATAGATTTATTCCCAGGGACATAATTTAAATTCACCTAATTTTTTCCCGCCAGGTCAACAAGGTAAGTATTGGTTTTAGGGCGTCATCAACCTTACCCAGGGCGCCCTCTGTGGCATCCCGTTATGTGGTAAATGTCACAGAAATGTATGGCGCACAAAGTAAACCATACGGTCCAGAGGTTGCCCATGTAATTTGGAAATATTCCACTATGCCCACGCAAGGAGAGATGTTTACCCAACTGATCACGGGCATGGAGGCAAATGGACATTTGACCGGGAGGGAAATCTTTTCCGTTGGGGGAATCATGACACAGGCTGAAGTTCCCGATGACCATCCAGCTTTTTCCTTGATGCCGGAAATGGTCCGGGTCGTCTTGACGATGAATACGTCATGGACGTATCTACATCCTAATGGGACAGGGTATCCGATGAAGTACCATTGGGCGTCGGATCTGCACAGTGGAATCGAACCGTACCGTTTTAGAGCGTCCCCACCCGCGCTTGATGGGGGAACTTGAACTCATGAAGTTCTCCATTGTGTACGGATTCATAGATGGCGTGCAGCAACAACGAATTTATGTTGATCCAGTGACGAGACGTCTCTCGCAAGAATTGCAAGTTGGGAATGATTTCATTTACGACGTGACCCTCAGTCTTGGGCAAGAACTGGATAGGATAAATCTATGGTTCGATATCTATGGATCGACACAGGTCGGGACGCAGGGCACAATGCCAGATTTTTACTTTGAGGCTTGGGTCGCTCTGCAGAGTTCTAACTTTACGGTGGCTGAATTCTGAATTTGTGTTTGATACATATAAAATTTTCTGCTTTGTAATTTGGTGAATAATAAATTTGACGAATTTTACAATTACTTTTACTGCAAATTTGAATAAGGGATCAGTTGCAACTACGAACCATATGAACTAATCCATGCAAAAATTTTTGAAAGTCAAACGCTCTGTATTTGTTTAAAGTTTAAAACTTTTCAATGTCTTCACTCACATGGAACAGTCAATGAACTCACAATATTTTTTGAAAGCTACATATTATGTCCCTCATGAAGGATCCGTTCATATTTCCGGGTAAAATTCATATTTATTTGGTGCCATTGCGTGGCGCTAATTTCGTAAAATTCGTAGGATTTAACATTTCAAACCTCCATAACTTTTGAAATACGTATTAGGTTTTCAAAAAAATTGCATGAAAATAATAACAAAGAGTTAAATTTTCAACGAAAAGTTGAAAACTTTTTTTTAAATTTAGAAATTTCACAGCGTCGAAAAATATAAAAAAATAGTGATTTTTTATTACTATCTTCAATTTTTCTGACCATTTCATTCCAAAAATTTTGAAAATCCCGCAGAAATTTAAAACTAAGAAGGTTTGAAGTTGGTCAAAAATCATGTTTTTTAACTTTGGCGCCAAGCTATTTTGATTTGATTTGATTTGATTTATTTCAATGAGGCACCCCACTGCATGGGACTTTACACCTCAAGGATAAAAAAGAAAGTCATACATTACACAATTTTCATTTTGCTTGTACATACATATACCAAATGATGATTACGTCATAGAAAATCTTGATACTCATCCGAATCGAATAACTCGAATAATTCTATAAATCTTTTTGTATTCTGGACATTTAAAAAGTACTTCTTCACCTCTTTTTTAAACATAATTAGACTCATCCTTCCATGCTCATTTTTTAAATTTAATGGTAGATTAGACCATGACATTGCTGCCCTATATTTAAAGGACTTTTTGGCCATATTATTGCTAATTAAAATATCTGGCTTATAGTAAGTATTATTTCGAGTATTTCTATATATAACGGTGCTTATTGGTACATAATTGGCAAAATATTTGGGACAGCAGCCATTTAGCATTTTAGACACACATTTACACAACTCAGCCTGCACCATATTTTCCGCTACTAACCATTCCAAGTCGACTGATAAGTCATCGGATATAGGGTCATATTTCCCTTTATTGCATACATATCTTGCACATTTTCTGATTACCTTATTTACACACTTTAAATTATTCTTACCAAATAGCCATACAGGAGATGCGTATAACAGACTAGAGAATACCAGTGCATGTATTAATAGTACCTTATTCTTGCGTTCCACGACATTTTTTAGGGGACCAAGTGACCAAAGAGAGCTGTTACAACTTTTTATTACCTTATCACATTGATTATTGAACTTAAGGTCTTCATCCAATAATACCCCCAATAATTTTGTACAAGTAACCCTTCTAATAGGTGTGTCGTTAATTTGTATAACAATATCTGATACAGCAGATTTTAATTTACGGGGGGCAAATACAATAAATTCACATTTATTTACGTTCAGTTCTTGCCTATTTGCTTCCATCCAACGCATACTCCTATCCAGATCATCATTCAGATTATTTACAACTTGTTCTATATGATCAATATCACCAGAAATTAACACACCACTGTCATCGGCAAACATAACACATAAACTGTGTTTTAAATGATACGGCAGGTCGTTCATCATTATCAAAAACAGAATACAACTAATACATAACCCTTGAGAAAAACCTAGATTAGTAGGACGCTTGCTAGATGTTTTAGTACAATTATTGCAGGAGATACATACAAATTGTTGCCTATTTTCTAGAAATGACCTCACAAGTTTAGAATCTACTCCATACCATTTTAGTTTGTGTAGTAGAACCTCTTTGCAGGCCTTATCGTAGGCCTTCGCAACATCCAGCGCCACCATAATACATACTTGATCATTCTCCCATGCTTTGTATACAAAATCAGTGACCGCTATTAGGGCATGCGTGGTGGAATGGAACTTGCGAAAGCCGAACTGGAATTCTGACAACAAATTATTAGATTCAAGATAAATAGAAAGTTGGTTGAATATACATTTACCAAATAATTTAGTTAGTACAGGTTGGATTGCTATCGGTCTAAGCTCATTTGGCGATACTGGATTTTTTACCTTTGGTATTGGAATCACCTTAGCTAGTTTAAGCATATTCGGGACGCTTTCCTCATTAATATACATGTTAAATAAGTTCATGATAATAATTCTAAATTTAGGAGATGTCATACACATATTCATCATTTTGTTGCACAATCCGGTCGTCTCGAGGGATGTCGATCCTTTGTTTTTTGTGCCTTTCCACGCCTTCAGAATGTCTTGTGTGGATAATTCCCAGAATTTAAAAGAAAGGTCGAGGTCGTCCCAGAGTAGTGCGGGTTTTGTAGGTAGTGGTGGCAGTGTTTGGGCGTGGTCCCTTGTCGAGATGTTCACGAAAAAAGAATTTACGGTGTCAGGTTCCAAGTTAATTTCAGCTGCAGGGCTTAGTAGAGGGTATATTTTTTCTAGAGCTCCCCAGAAGTGAAGCTTCTCCACTTTCTTATTAAATTCATGTTTGGTGTCCTCCAGAATATTTCTTTTAACGAGTGACTTGTAGTTCTTAAATGATTGGATATTAGCTGGTGATGGGTCACGACGACATGCCTTGTACGCCTTGTCTCGCTGCTTAATAATCTGTCGTGTTTTGCACGATACAAACTTTTTATGTTGATGCACATAATAAGTAACTGTTCTAATTGGAGCTAGTATATCATAGATAGCTAGTATATCGTTTATCACACCGTGAGTAACTGTTTCGACGTCTCCCTGACTAGCTTCAATATTATTGATATATGTCGCAAGATCCGTAAGGTTGATATTGCTGTAGTTTCTAATATGTTTTTGCTTCTTAATCGGCACTGGTTTTTTAGTGGAGATTATGCATTCTGTATATGCATGATCAGACAGGTGTGGGTTGAATACTGATTTGTTTATAATGGGTTGGTTGTTGTTTGTGATGATGAGGTCCAATATATTACTTCCTCTCGTCGGTTCGTCAATTATCTGATGTCAGTTTACTAATTATTTTGTATAGGGGGGAAGCCGATTTTGTATTACGTAGGTTAAAGTCACCGAGGATATACATATTTTTATGGTATTTACAGCATTCAGATAAGAAGTCGTCAAAAAATTCATAGTCATCTGTTAAGGTTTCCTTCTTGTAGTTTGGATGGCGATACACACACGATATGATGATTTCCTTATTAAAACGTAATTGCACGATTAGGGTCAAATATTCAATATTGTTGGACGGGATATCAGGAAAGTTATTAGGTTTTTTTACTTTAATATTGTCTCTTACTAGCATGGCAATACCACGGTCATGTGAATCGGGTCTGGCGTCTTTTCTAAATATCACGTAACCTGGAATTTGTCGTAAATTATGATGTGATTTAAGTCTTGACTCACTTATACACAATATATCGATGTCGTTAAGGGATAGGAATGTTTTGAGCTCATTAAACTTACTATGTATTGAATTTAAGTTGATGTGGGCGATTGTTAAGTTTTTTGAATTTTCTTCGTTCGGCGAGGAACTAAAAAATGATTATTATATCTCAACGAAGGCTTGCTAAATGAAATATTATTATTTCTTACACTTGTTGCGGTTGTGCGATCGATTTGATTTACAGGGCCATGTCGTTCATTGTTGTGAGACCTAATTTGCATATTACTTTTATTATGTATTGCTGGTGATGATAAGATGTTTAATCGACTATGTGACCCACCCTCAGATTCTGTCCTCTTATTCGCAACGAGCCTGCCATTACACACCTGGTGAGATTCACGGTCCGATGTTATCGACTTATTTTTCCAGTTTATAGTACAATTCTCGTTATTGTCTTTGAATTCTTTGGCTTTTTTTCTTAATATGGCAAAGTCCCGTCGTAGTGTATAAGGAAGATCCTCATTTATAAAGATAGGCGGCTTGGTTTCCTTCCTTGAATTCCATACACTTTCTCTGTCCGATAAGCAACTAAATCGCACTATAACTCGTCTGCACCCTTGTGCCTTATGGGAACCTAATCTCAACACAGAGTCCACGTTTATCTCTTGTTTGACAATATTGCTGAGCAATTTATTAACAATAATACGCAATTCTTCCAGCGATTCGTTAAGAGGGTCGGATAATCCAGAAATTATAAGATTAATCCGTTTTACATCACGTTCTATTTGTTTGTTATGGCATTCTAGATAATCCATACGTGTTGACAAACCAATATTCCCCTTTGTTAGTTTCGCGACATCGTTTTTTAATGTATTCAGTTCAGTTTGGTGGGCGAGGAGACAGACCTTTATATCTGACACAGAGCACTTTAAATTTTCTGTTAAAGTATCTATTTTTGAGCTGATACGAAGTTCGTGATTTGTTAGGAATTGCATAATAGTATCACAATTTTGCGGGTCAGGTGATGGGTCGTCATTAGTACTGTCATTTAGTGACACCATACTTCTAGTTCTGGGTCGCTTATTGGTCTCACTATTTGCACTATTAATATGACTGAAATTAAACTCAGCAATTCTTGTTTTCACTGTATTTCCGTTTTTTGTAGGAGATTTCAAATCTTTACTAGGTGCCATGTTTATAAGATTGGTAACGATGAATTACTTTTTAAGACAAAATAGAAACTCCAGAAGTTTGTAACAGTAGTGTAGGTTATTTCAGTAGGTTGGTTTAACTGTGAGGTTACGAGGCACCCGCTGTTGTTTATTTTTTTAGTACAGTAATTTAACAAACTTTACTATACGATGTAAATTATTCGCATCCTTTCGCTTCATTATCTATTGCACCATGTGTATATGAGTTTTACACAGAAATTTGAATGGATCTTTCATCCGGGGCCCTAGCTACTTTTACAAAACATTATGGGTACCCAAAACACGATCAACAGTCTGCGATCATTCCTTGTGAGACTCAAAATACTCTGCCAAATATCTATCGATTTTGAAAACTTTTACTTTTTCTTTGTTTCTTGGCCTCCGTTTCTCATCTGATGGTATAATGTCGTGGTAAAGACGTTTTGTGTGTGTATTAAGGCAACAAACAATACGTATTGCCTTACTTCCTACGAGTGGCACCCTAAGTAGACAATTATTACGTAGCAACTGTAATTTCTAGCGTGTGTTTAATAAACCTTATACTTTAGAGCGGCCTCAATTATCAGTATTCATTATTTCTTCGTGTCCTTAGTATTCTTCGTATCGTAAAATAACTTACGACGCTTACGACATTTTGTAAGCGTCGTAAGATTTTGTCATCGAAAAACGCGTTACTACGCTTACGATTTTTACGAAACCTGGCCCCTTGTTTTTTTTTCGTAAACTAATTTACGATACTCCGGATACGAAGAAATAATAATAATAGTAATTTGGTTTTATTGCCTTTCGAGGCATTGGGCCCGTAAAGCACTAATTACATAATGCGATTTGTATAATTAATTAAAATAATTAATATACACTCCCTATCTTGAGTCTGTGAATCAAAAATGATAAGTGATAAATAATAAACAGAGCATAACGCTTGGATTAGTAGGAATGTTAGATAATGGGTTCGTTTAAGTAATAGGTCCACGCGTAATAATAAATTTGGAATTTTTAACAAGATTTAGAAGTTAACAAATTTGGAATTTGTAAATAAATTTAAAAAATAAAATAAGATGTTTAACGTTTGAAATTTCTAACAAAATATGGGTTTTTAACAATTAGGAATTTTAGCAAAATTAAGTTTTTTAGCAAAATTAGGATTTTAAATAAAATTAGAATTCTCAACAAAATCTTTGAAGTTTTAACCAAGTTTATAATTTTTAACAAGATTTGGAATTTTTTACATTTAGCATAATTTGGAATGTTTAACAAAATTTGGTTTTTAAGCAAAATTTAGAATTTTAAAATAAGTAAGGTTTAGTTTAATGGCTAATTTTGAGTATAAATACCATTAAATATAGTAATAAGTAACTAGTTTACAATGAATACAGCGAGATTTAAGGCTGAAGAAGTTCAAATTCTTGTAGTTCATGAGCTTCAGAGAGAGGTCTAGGTAAAGATTTCCTACCTAGCACACAGATAACCCCATCCCATAAAAATGATTCCCATACCAATTTCCTCCAGAAGATACCATATTGCTGTAATTGAGTCATCCTTATACACGACGGTCGTTTGGTTTTGTGTTGGGATGTGTATTTCGATTTTTCCATCTCCCTCCACAGCGGCATCAATAGCTCCTTCAACTGTGGCAAGCAAAATAGCCCCTATGATTTTTTTCGCCATACTCTTTCGACTCCCCTCTATCTCCAAGACTCGGGTCAAGGCTATTATGCACGTAATTATGCAAATTGTCTGCGAGAAAACGAAAATATATAAGAAAGAGGAGAACCAACGGGATAAAATAACATTGGACTGGACAAGTAATTATGTGCGCCAAAATTTTTTACAATTTTCAAATAAATGATATTAAATTATTTTATGATTTTACTACCTTCACGGATGCCATTTTGTTCGATACGAAGAAATAATGAATACCCTCATTGTTCATGTACAGACAGGGAGGAAATGAGTACATATCATTTAGCGGACGGTTTGCTTGACAAACGTATGCAGGCAAATGTGAATGTGTATCATTTAAGAATTACCAATTCATCAAAATTATAGAATGTATTCATCTCTGGAGTTTATTGGTTTTGCATATTAATACGAAGGTAATATAGAAGATGAAAAAATATGTATGGTTAAAATTATGGATTAGTCGACATGATCCCTGAGTGATTCTGCGAGTTCGTCGGCACGTTGCAGCATCTCCAACCATTTGCGCCTTCCGAACGTCATGCTGTACACGAACTGGACGATCAACAGAATCGCTGCCACGTTGTAAATGATCCAGGCCAATTCCCACCAGCTTCCGGATCCGGTTTTGCGAGTGGAGATTATCCGGCTGCCAGCGTTCATCAAGAAGGCAAGCGTGGACGAGAACAAAAAGATGTAGGACGCCACCTGCAAAAAACAACTTGGAATATTTACACATGGTAGAAAATTCCGGTAACGATTCTATATGTTACTCTGGTAATAAGTTCTTTTACCGAGTTGGCAATAAATTGGTGCCAATAAAGTTTTACTGAATTAGCTAAATTTTTTCTTGTAGAATATTATTACCATTCCATGCTACCTCTCCGGTATCATGTATGTACATATTGTAAAAACGCGTCAAGTTTGCAGCTCTGACGTCACTGTGCTCGTATCCTTACCATGTGAGCCAACACCGTAGGATAGGAGCACAGTGACGTCAGAGCTGCAAACTTGACGCGTTTTTACAATATGTATATATGCACATATTAATACTACTGGTGACAGAGGAACTTGTCATAACTTTGGCAACACTTGTTACTAAATTGATAATAAATCATTACCCGAGAAATATACAATGTCACATAAATATTAGTAAAATAGCCCCTCTCACCGTTTGTCCCCCAGCCCACGTGACCATTTGAAACCTGGAGTCGTTTTCCGTCCTCCGAATTTCGAAGGGACAGAGGAGCACTTGCCGCAAATGGGAGAAAGCTGCCACGAGTTGACCCCTCCGTCCCACAATGGAGAGATAGCGACGATGTCGGTCAGCCCCATCGTCCCCTCGATCAGAGACCTGACCTGATCTTTCTTGCGCCATAACTTGGTCAGAATTTGTGTCGTCGTGCTCAGTGAAAGAGTGGAAGTGGTGGAATGATGGAACCCAACAAAAATGATGATTCATTATCACACGTCGTTTCCGATTTAGTTTGTTACACCGTTGCCATAGCGGCACCACGTCGGCACGTCGCACAACCACACTGCGGCTTTGTTTAAAGAAGAATGGGGTTGTGGGAATAATTGTGGATGAATTCACCCAACAAGTTGAACATTTAACGTGGACTCGATATTTTAATATGTATACGTACCTCCAGGTATTAGTGAATGTTGGTGCATGCGTGCTAAAAAAACCATGTATGGGCATATGTAAATATGTTCCAAAAACTAGTAAAACGCAGGGTTCGGAAAAACCCCGGGTTTTACCTTGAAAACAACTGCCCCAGGGTTTTACTGGGTTTTACTGGGTTTTGGGGTTTTACTGGGTTTTACTGGGTTTTACTGGGTTTTACTGGGTTCTACTCAATGTTTGGGGTGAACTAATATAACTTACAATGTTACACCAAATTGTTAAATTGATATATTTTATCAAGATTTACCATAAAACTAATGCAAAATACCAAAAACACACCCAAAAATCATTAATATGATCGAACTCCAAGTCTAGCTGTAAATTGTGATTTTTAGATCATAAAGAAAAATTCTAAATAAACCGTTACAACGCATGTAACCAAGGGGTGAAAGTAGTGTGCTATCCGTCAAATTGACCTTAAAATGACATTTCATGACCTTTTGACCTTGAAGGGTGTAACCCACAGGGTCCATCTTCGAACTCGTCCTGTCTTTTATCGTTAGGAGTTTACGTTCAAAATTTCAAGTCTCTATGTCATTCCGTTCAAAAGCTATCGGACCAACGGACAGACAGACAGGCAGACAGACAGACGGACGGACGGACATAACGATCTTATAAAGGGCTTTCACCCCTTAATAAATATAGAAATTGACGGGATATTGCTCAGAGTGCTTAATTAGAGTTAGATAAGCACCGAAAAGCTGATTTCATTGATTTATTTATTTGAATTTGAGATAAAACCTAGTAAAACCCGAGTAAAACCCAGTAAAACCCCTTTAACATAGTAAAACCCGCTGGGTTTTATTGATCTAACGACCCAGTAAAACCCAGTAAAACCCCAAAACCCGAACCCAGTAAAACCCGGGGTCGGAATACCCTGGTAAAAAGTCTGCCTCTCCAGGGACCCTCGCCGAATGCAGTATGGCAAGTAATTTTTACAAATTGCATAGAAGAAAATGCATTTATTTTTGAACCCTTTGAACTTTGAATGTTTTTTTACATGTACCTACATGAGTACATATGGATAGCTTGATAAATACATAGATCTTGAGGAAAGGATGTTGACAGGTCATTAAAATTGATAATGTAATGATAGATTTGGAAACATATTTATTCTTAATGTTCGTCGTATCTACTTGAGATTACTGAAGCCCATAATGAGAAAAACCTACAAATGCACAAGTATTAAGAAGCATTTTGATGTATGTATGTAATTAGTCAGTTGACTGGCATATTGTTCAAAGTAAATTTTAATTTGTCCGTTGGACAGTGACCAAACGATTTACACCGGTGCGGATGGAAGTGGTCCTGGGATGGTTTCCATGGTGGTGCAACACTTCTGAGCGTCGGGACATCTGACAACCAACGAACTGAGCAAAACACTTGAAGTGACTGGAAAATCGCAGACATCCTTACATTGCGTGTTGGGAAGCGGGTTGCCCGTAAAGACACCTTTGCACCGCACGTCTGCAAAGTTGGAAACCATTATTGGAGAGGTTTTCCTACTTAAATTCTAATAGGTTGAGAGGAAATAATTGTAAAAATTAATTACCAGGTTGCGCATGGCTGAGGAGACAATACATGGATAGGATGGCCACGACCAGGACAACGGGTGTGCGGCGGTTGACAATAGATGCCATTTTTCTGTCTTATGTCTCAACTTGGTATCTGAAATACTAGTTGGAACAAGAAAATTTGCTTTTTATGTGGGAGAAAGTGGTAAACTGCAGATTTACCCGAGTAAAAATTTATGCAGTTTTCCTGCAGAAAATTTGCCCAATTTTCTGCAGAAAAGCTTTATGCATTGAGATTTCTGAAGAAACCTATGCACATACATGTAGTTCTGCAGAATAATAGAGACAAAAATTTTCTGCTGGATGATGTACAAAAATTATGCATAATACAATATGCATAGGATTTTTGTAGATTTCTGCAGAATTCGACACGGAGATTTCTACTCGGGTATATTTATTTAGGAGGGATTACGGTTTCTGGTGGCAACTTACTTACTTTCCACAGGAATTTGTGTTGGACGAAGAAAACTCGAAAGTTAATTAGAGTTGATGACGACGCCGTGGAAGTTGGTTGAACAGTAAAGCTGGGAACATGTTCGCTAAGTTATATATGCACATACATAAGTAATGATAAAAGGTTGAGATGTATAAATAGTGACGAGACACGGGAAGGGGTTGGATGGCTAGACACGATTTATCCTTTCTTTTTGCATACGCAGCAGGCGGTGGTAATATTTCACTCATGATGCACAAGCCATTGACCAGTGAACCGATTTACATGCACCTGATTATTATTAAGAAATTGCATCGTGTGTTGGTCGATTTGTTAGCATACATTCTTTATACAGGATGTTGACCCTTCCTGGCAAAAGGGGCTATTTTAGTTGCTACGCTAAAGTTATTAGCTGCACCATTTTTCATAAGTATAAAAGGTACACCTTGAATGTACGTACATTCTTAAAAAAATCAATAAACGTTGGTATTCACGTACGTGATTCTACCGCGTGGTATTGATCCGGTATTGAATTAATATATACTACGTGGTAAAAAATACCAATTAGTATTAAAATTATTACTGTGAGGTATGATTTCAATATCGGTTCTATACCAATATGGTATAACCGTTTAATACCAAGGTTGTAGTGTCACATATCAATACCGCTAGGTTTTTTCAATACCAAGTTTCTTAGAGTGTACATATGCAGCGAAAAGGAAGAAGTTCAGCTCAAAAAGTTAGCTTAATGAAGATTGCACTCGTTCTCTTAATTGGAACGTTTGAATAACTAATTTATCAGGCAATGGCCGCGGAAGATCATTTAGACCGTGGGGACATAAATTTTCATGGAAATTTAAGAACAATAAAAATATAACTGATTGATTCGAAAATAATCATTACTCGAATTATGTATCCTGGTTATAGATTTACTTAATCAATTATCTTGGAATTGGATGGGAATTATTATTAAATTCGGAAATATTATTACCGAATTTCAATATAATTTCGAAATTATGGTTTAAGTTGTATGAGGTCGATGTTTTTGTACTCGAGTAATTCTAAATCGTGGGGACAAATGCATTGCATGTCCCCACGGCAAAATTTCCATGGGGACACTGTCCCCATGTCCCCGCGCTTCCGCGGCCACTGTTATCAGGTGAATGGGATTATTAAGGGGTGAAAGCCCTTTATAAGATCGTTATGTCCGTCCGTTGGTCCGATACCTTTTGAACGGAAAGACATAGAGACTTGATTTGAACGTTAACTCCTAACGTCAAGAAATAGAACGAGTTCGACGATTGACACTGTGACATCGTCACTGTGACGATGACGTCGTCACAGTGACGAAAAGTGGTGAAAAAGTGTCACGTGTCAGTTATGACGTTTGACACATCATTTTTAACTATATTTCAAGTTAGAATTAAATGGTGAGCTCCATATTGACCTCAGACGTCATTTATAGGTCACCGAGCATATGTATGTATGTCAAATTAATATGGAATTTGACGCTGATTTCAATGGTGACCTTAATTTTGACCTCAGAGGTCATCTGAAGGTCATAGGGCATATCTATGTCAATTTGACCTGAAATTTTACCACGAATTCGATGGTGACCGCAATTTTGACCTCAAAGGTCACAAAATGGTTAACAGATGTTAAATTGTCACAAATGTCGAAAGCAGGTTGCCTGTATGTGTATCAATTTAACGGATTTTAAACACTGTATAGTAAACACTGAAAATTTTGACCTGTGACACCTCAGTGACCATTTTAAAAAATTTGAACAGGCAAAAACGATATGATATTCATTTTAACGTATGAAACACTCCTTTCACCCCTTAGTTACATTCCTTGTAACGGTTTATTATACATAAGTACAACAATGGTTGCTAAAACTTTTTGCGTTTGCGGTAAAATAAAAATCAAGGTGACCATCATGACTGCGAGATGAATAGATTTAGTTGAAATAAAAAAAATATATTTCAGGAAGGAAATGGAAAATATTGCAGAGTATTTATGCCCTTGATACATATTAGTATGTACACATGTACTGACAATGCGATGGTGTGAAGTGTAACCCTCCGATTTGGTTGAAATTTTGAAATTACGTGGTCCAAGTCAATACAACCAACATTTCTTCAGGCAGTTTGTGCCATGGTCAGAATTTACCAAAATATTTGAAGCGAACGGTGAAAAACAGACGATTTTTAACATGCGGAGGAGGCAAACTCAACTTCCATTCTTTTCCCCGTGCTAAAAATCGTATACATATTTTTCAACTTTATATAAAATATTTTGGCAAATTCTGACAAACTCACAAACTGCCTGAAGAAATTTTGTCTGTATGGACATGGACCACACAGTTCCAAAATTTCAACCAAATCGGAGGGTTACACTTCTCCCCATCGCATTGTTAGTATGTAAATGACCTTATTTATACATCCAACCGTGCCTCGTTGTGCAAATTTCATTTAATTTCATGACTTTTAACTGAATTTAAAAGTTTGATAAAAATCTGTGATGATAACCTTTTCGAATTTGGAGCTCCAAATTTTTTAAACTATGGGTAGTAGGTTGTAGCATTCACAGATTAAAGAGCATGGTAAAAAGCGAATAAAATAATTTATGGGCTTTGCTTTAATAATAATTTCGTCTAAATTCGTGCACCTTGAAGACAAAGGAGCTAACAAGGGATACTCACGACCTGTCGTTTGTGTCCAGGGTACCCACAATGTTTTTTAGAAGGACTCCAGATGAAGGATTCATTCATATTTCCGTGTAAAAATCATATCTGCCGCCATGGCGTGGCGCCAAATTCGCCAAATTTATGTGTTTTTATTTTTGAAAATGCCATAACTTTTGAAATCCTTCACGGATTTTCAAGATTTTTGGCAAAAATCATGACAAGGAGTTCAACTTTTCTATCCAATGAATTTTTTTTTCAAAATTATCGCATTTAACTTTTCGCAAAATTTCGTACATAATTTTCTTGTAAATGGGGGTTCGTCGAAAAAATGTTAAACATATTTCAAAAATTAGGAATTTTTTATTTTTATCTTTTTCTCAAAAATTTCGACTTTTGTGATCATTTTAAGCATAAAATTTTGAAAATCCGACATAAACTGCAAAAGTTATGGAGGTTTGAAACCGGTGGAAAATGCAAATTTTGAAGTTTGGCGCCATGCCGTGGCGCCAAATATGAGTTTTACACGGAAATATGAATGAAGTTTTATTTTTGGCCTCTCATTTTGAAGTGCTAATAAAATTCTGACCTTTGACCTGTCGGTGACCTTGAAAATCGGCGACGCGGAATTAATCGGCTATGAGTTAGTGCAGATGCGAGTAAAGTTTCAGACGTTTAAGTGAACGGGATACTATCGAGATTTTAAAAACATAAACATATGATTAATTTTGTTACATACTGTAGTTAACAAAACGGTTTTATGATTTTAAAAGGGATTTAATAAATTTTTAATGGGTACTATCCAGATTTTTAATAGTTTTACAATAGAATTACATACATCTATAAAGTTGAAGCGATAAGTAATTGATTAGATAAAGTCGTTGGTTTGAGGTTTATTTCAATATGGTCATGTACATAAACTAGATCAAAATCAATAGTGGACGTTAAAATTTCCCATTTTTTATTTCTGGCATAGCTGAATATCTCGTCTTTAATTAGAGCACCCATCGCATTCCATCAATTAGCCTAGTATGATCAAGGTTCCCATGAATTACGCATTGGCGCGTAATCACACTCTGCCCCTATCCAATGTCTTCAAATGCAATTTCTAAAATTGAATCAATTCCATGAGTTTTGAGATAAACGCAACTTTTGATATTTTAATGTACAACATCTGTAAACCAAATTTTTGATTTTACGAATCCGTTACATCCCGATTCTCTACAAAATTGCATACGGATGCCTTTTCAATTCTGTTCAAAAACTGGCGAAGGACATTAGTTTAAAAACAATCTGTTTTTGTCAAAATCACACGCAACCTTAATATTTGATAAAGTACCAGGTGGCCCAAGTAAGCTGTTAGTAGATTCAAAGGCTGTAGCTTCAACAGTTTTTGTGTTACAGATTTCCAGTAAATTTTAATGGAAAGCCAGTTAATTTTTAAGTAGAAAACAATAAGCTCAAGCCCTAAGCTCAAGCTTCCATTTGAGCACTAATTGGATAATCTCCATCGACACTGTCAACTGTAAGCCCGGTTTCGTTGAAATTTTATGAATTTCTTTGGTTTCTATCTTTCAGCGCCTTCACGATGGGTGTGGTCCTTAGGGGTTATCAGAAAATTCTTCGACTGTTTTTAGTCGATGCGGTCCCCATGAACGTTTTTATAGTCGTTTGAACTCAATTGAAGTGCAGGTTCGATTCCTGTCACATTTTTCAATTTTGCCATTTCTTTTCCCATTTTTTTTGGTGAAAAATTATCTTCGACCGCGTCCATTCTAGATTTTCCCTGCCGATATGCTTTTCAAGCAGTTAAAAACATACATGGTCTTTATGCAAAATCGCACGAGAAATCTAACGCACTTATCAGATTTTCATTATCTCCAGCGGTTTTAAAGTTATTAGCTAGTAACACTTAGCCTGGGCCCAGTAGGTATTGTGCAAAATTAAAAAGAAATAGTGAATCATTTTTGAAAAATGTTCTTAGCGTCGTCTCACTTATTATTTAATATAGTATACTAGCCTATAAGCCCGTCCCAAACACGGGCTTCATTTCAATTTTTTTCCTCTTGCTGTGAAATTTACATGTTAAAGAATTTTTTAACGTTGATAAGGAATATTTTCAAGGTTGCCAAAGAATATTTTTCAGATTGCTAAGAAAGTTTTTTGATGTTTCTAAGTAATTTTTATGACGTTATTTAGGAATTTTTTTAACCTTGCTAAGGAATTTTTTTAACGTTGCTGAGGAAATTTGTTAACGTCGCTAAAATATTTTTTTGATGTCGCTAAGGAGTTTTTTTTTGTTGTAACGGAATGTTCTTAACGCTACTAAGCAGTTTCTTAACGTGGCTAAGGAATTGTTTTGGCTTTGGGACGGAGTTTTTTTAAATTTGCTAAGGAATTTTTTTAACATTGCTAAGGAA